GCCAAAAACTTCCCTAACCTGGGGCAGAAAACAGACATCCAGCTCCAGGAAAACCAGAGATTTCCAAATAAGAGAAGCCTACAGAGACCCACACCAAGACGTATTATAACTAAGATGACAAAAAATAAAGACAAGGAAAGAATATTAAAAGTGAAGAGAAAAATAATTTGTTAAACAAAAGGAACCCCATAAGATGATCAACAAATCTTTCAGTAAAATTTTTGCAGGCCACAAGTGGCATGATATATTCAAAGTTATGAAAGAAAAAAAACTTCCAACCAGAATCCACTGCCCTGTAGTTACCATTCAGAAGTGAAGGAGAGATAAAGAATTTTCCAACAAGCAAAGGCTAAAGTCAAGCATCACCACTAAATTGACATTGCAAGAAATGTTAAAGGGACTTCTTTAAGCTGAAAAGAAAGGGCATTAATTAGTAATAAGATCACCTATGAAAGAATAAATTTCAATGGAAAGGTAAGTATATATTAAAGGTAGTATATTAATCACTTATAAAGCTAGTATGAAGGTTAAAAAACAAAAGTAGTAAAGATAACAATGATTATAATAATTAAGGGATACACAAGATAAAGAAATATAATATGTGACTTCATGAAACATGAAGAGGGGAGAATAATAATGTTGAGCTTTACTATGAGGACAAAATTAAATTATTTTTAAGTTAAAATAGACTGTTATAGTAAGTTGTTATATGCAACCCTTGTGATTGCCCCAAATGAAAACCTATACTAAATACATAAAAATAAACAGCAAAGAATATAAGCATACCACTAAAGGAAGTCATCAAACTAGAAAGGAAAAGAGCAAGAGAAGAAAAGAACATAGAGGAAGTACAAAGACAGTCAGAAAATAATTAACAAAATAGCAATAAGCACATACCAATCAATAATTATTTAAATGCAAATAATTATAGTCAATGAGGTAAAAGACCTGTATACTGAAAACAATAAAACATTAAAGAAAGAAACTGAGAAGACACTAATAAATGGAAAGGCATTCCATGCTCATGGGTTGGAAGAAGTAATGTGAAAATGTCGATGCTATCTGATGTAACCTACAGATTCAGTGCAATCCCTATCAAAATTCCAATGGCACTTTTCACAGAAATAGAACAATCCTAAAATTTGTATGGAAACACACACACATCAAACAGCCAAAGCAATCTTGAGAAATAAGACAAAGGAGACAAGCTTTCAGATTTCAAACTATATTACAAAGCTATGTAATCAAAACAGTATGGTATTGCTTAAAAACACACATAGATCATTTGGAATGAAATAGAAAGCCAAGATGTAAATCCATGTATATATAATCAATTAATTTAAGGGGAAGGAGGCATGAATGTGAAAAGGACAGTTTCTTTAATAATGGTGCTGGGAAAACTGGACAGCCACATGCACAGAAATGAAACTGGATCATTGTCTTACACACCATATTCAAAAATAAAATCAAAATGGAATAAAGACCTAAATATAAGACCTGAAACCATTAAACTCCTAAAAGAAAAATAGGCAATAAACTCTTGAACATCAGCATTACCAGTTATTTTCTGGATATATCTCCCCAGTCAAAAGAAAAAAAGCAAAAATACACAAACAATACTACATCAAACTAAAAAGCTTCTGCACAGTAAAGGAAACCATGAACAAAATGAAAAGACAACCTACTGAATGGGAGAAATATTATTTGCAAATGATATATCTGATAAGGGATTAATATCCAAAATATATAAAGAACTCATAAAATTCAACACCAAAGACCCAAATAATCTGATTGTAAAATGAGCAGAGAACCTGAAGAGACATTTTTCTAAAGAAGACATACAGAGGCTAATTGAAATACATGAGAAGATTCTCAACATCATTAATCACCAGGGAAATGCAAATCAATGAGATACCATCACACATCAGTCAGGATGGCTAGTATAAAAAAGACAAGAAATGACAAATGTTGGTCAAGATGAGAACTTTCATTCACAGTTGGTGGAAATGTAATTTGGTGCAGCCACTAGGGAAAGCCATAGAAGGCCCCTCAAAAAATAAAAATAAAATTACCACATGATCCAGCATTTCCATTTCTAGGTATTTATCGAAAGAAAATTAAACACTAATTCGAAAAGGTAGATGGACTCCCATGTTCATTGTACACTGTCTATAATAGCCACGATTGGAAACAATAAGATCTTTGGAAATAACCTAACCTGTCCATCAATGAACTGGCTAGATGGATAAAGAGACAGTGCAATATTATTCAGCCACAAAAAAGAATGAAGTCTTTCTATTTGCAACAATATGGATAGACCATCACAGCATTTTGCTAAGTGAATTAAATCAAAGAAAAACAAATACCATATGATCTCTCTTATATATAGAATCTGAAGAAAAAAAACCAAAACCAAGCTCATAGATGCAGACAACACATTTGTGGTTGCCAAAGGCAGGGGATGGGTTGTAGGAGAAATGGTGAACTGTTTTGTTTTTGTGTTACTTTAAACAAATTTTTTAAAAACAGGGCTTCTTAGTGAAAAGTTGATTCCATGCCTAGGCAGCAAAGATGTAAAGTCAGTCTAGAACAATGTGTGCCAGGAAGTAAACTTTCCAAGATTAATATAATTATGTGAAAAAGAAACGGAGGTTCTCTTGAAGGGAATTCCACTGGCCAACGTTATGATGATTTAGGCTATTGAAGAACAATGATTGTAAAACAAAATAAAACTCAAAATGAATCAGAGACTTAGTAAAAGAATTAAAGCTATAAAATACTCAGAAGAAAATATAGATGTAAATCTATGTGACCTTAGATTAGGCTGTGGTTTCTTAGATATGACACCTAAATCACAAGCAATAAAAGAGAAAATAGATAAGACTTCACAAAATTAAATTAACTTGTGCTTTAAAATTAACATTGGTACTCCAAAGGACACTATCAAGAAACTGTAAAGACAACTTGCAGAGTGAAAGAAAGTATTTGCAAATCATATATTTGATAAACAGCTTGACAGTCTCTCAAAAAGTTAAACATAGAGTTAATCAAGAAATTCCACTCCCACCTACATACCCAGGAGAGTTGAAAACATGTCCACACAAAGACTTGTGCATGAATGTTCATAGCAGCATTATTTATAAAAGTCAATAAGTAGAAATAATGCAAATTTCCATCAACTGATCAATGGGTAAGATGTTGCATATTTATACAATGGAATATTAGTCATAAAAAGGAATGAAGTACAGATATGTGCTACAATGTAGATGAATCTTGAAATATTCTCAGGAAAAGAAGCTAGACACAATAAACCACATATTATATGATTCCATTTATATAAAGTATCCAGAATAAGGAAATCAATAGAGACAGAAAATAGGTTAGTGGTTGCCAGGGACTTGAGGGAGAAAAAAGAGGAACTGGGAAATTTCTGCTAATGAGTCTGGGGTTCCTTTTTGGGGGTATTGAAAATGATCCAAAATTAGTCTATGGGTTGCACAATTCTGTGAATATACTAAAAACCACTGAATTGTACCATTGAAGTGCCCGTTTTTAAAATATATGTTATATACACATAATCCTTTATTATATGTCAATTATACTTCAGTAAAGCTGTTGAGAAAATTCAATAAATTTAAAGGACAAAGAAAAACATATATATGTATATGTAACTTTGAATAGACCACTTCTCACCTTTACTAGTCCTACCACTCTAATCCAAACTTAACATCATGTCTACAAAAATCATTCCTTATTGATCATCTGCTTCTAATCTTGCCCAACCCATTCTCCTTCCCAACAGTGGTCTATTGTCTATACCAAAGCTGAGTCCTCTTTTAAAAATGTAACGATGAGATCATGTCATTCTCCTGATCTAAATCCTCTGCTAGTTTTTCATCACACTCAGAGCAGCTCTGCTTTTACCTGATTTACATGTATGCCGCAGCTGATTTCCCTTGAAGAAGTGGTTCCATGACTAATAAAACTTCAAAAGTCTCTTTGAGGAGAGAATAGCTGACAGTGGTGTATCCAATCCATCTTGCTTTCAGTCATGAGAATTCCTTGGATGGGAGAGAGCCTGTGAGGAAAGGTGGAAGCATAGGTGACCAAGCAGGACCTAGGCTGGGCACTCACCCAGTGGAGCCAGTTCTCTGCTCCCTTGAAGCCTCACAGGAACAGGTAGTTCAAGTGATGGGCAAACTCAATCACAACACACAAAAGAACTTGACTGCTTAACCTGCTCAGTCAACTATTAAGTATGTATTAAGAACCTAGCTCTGTTCTATTGAGCACTAATCTTTTTCTTATTGAAGTATCATTGATACTCAATCTTATATTGGTTCCAAGTATACAACACAGTGGTTTAACTATATTATTAAATCCTGACCCCACTAGTGCAGTTACTATCTGACAATGTAGAAAGACAGAATCATCGACTATATTTTCCATGCTGTACTATTACCCCCATGACCAACTTATATTATGATTGAGAATTTTTGTGCCATTTTGTGTCCCACACCTTCACCTACCCAACCCAACTCCTCCCCCATGGTAACCACCAGTCTCTTCTACTGAGCACTACTGAATGTCTGGCTCCCAGAGTTCAAGTCCCGCTGGAGAAGATGGTGTGTATTATTCATTTGACAAACCAGATTGATTTTCAAGGGCCTAGTTCTAAAAAAACTGTGGAAGGCTTTGTAGGAGAGACAGAGCTGCAGCTAACCAAAGTGTGGGTGACTCATGGCTGGCTCATATTCAGAAAACGAAGAGCTAATTTGGATTAAAAAAGAGCATCTTGCTTCCTCGTGCCTCATCTCCCCTCAATTCCAGGCAATCGGCCTTTAATTTTTTCTTCCCAGCTCCACTCCACTGCAGTCCACTGCCTCACCCAAAAGATTTGTTTACGAGTCATTTCCTTGTTTTCAGGAGTGAGCAAATCACCAAATCATGAGACCCAGCAAAACTGCAGAGGCCCTGAGACTTTCAATTGTTTATTTCAGATCCATTAAAGACCATGTTCCTTCTCCTGCTAATTTTGAACCTGGGAATGAAGCCTCATCAGACAGCAGGTAAGAAAGGAAAAGGAAGGGGCCCAAGAAAGAGGAGCTGGTGGTGGCCCCTAGCTGAAGCCAATAATGAGAAAGTGATTTTTCAGGCTGAAGGCTTTCACTGAGAGGAAGTGTGGTTACCAGCTGTTCCAAACACAGCAAAAAGAGGGTGCCCAGGGTGGCTTATACATTGCCCACGTACCTGTCTTAAAGAAACAATAACCATTTGGCAGATAAGGAAACTGGAACTCAGAAAAGTTGTTTAATTTACTCAAGATTACATAATTATTAGGTGGCATGGGCAAGCTTCCTACAAAGCCAACGTCCTTTCTACTTGACTATGCAGCTATGATCATGGCAGTAAAGTATGGGTAATCAATCCCTAATCTTCCCACTTTGAAATAGGTTTTTGGAGTTAAATTTGGAGTTAAATTTGGAGTTAAAGAGACCTGGGATCAGAGCAAAAAGAACAATCTTATCCATTATGTTTACTAGGCTTTTTAAAAAATAAGAATATTCATTTACTTGTATATTAAAAGAATTATTATGCCTTTACTTGCATATTGAAAGAAATATTACTTATATAGTAAAAATATAATTTTCTACATATAAGAATCCTTTAAAAAACATATGAGAGCACACAGACTATAGCATCCAATGCTTGAGGAGAGCCATGGCTTTCAGGTTGGCCAGACTGACGACCTCACTTCTCTCATTGCTCTTATGGATCCCTAGACCTGCACTTTTCATTGAGAAGAAAAAAAAGATTGCATTGGATCAGTACAATTCCTTATTAGCCTGTCTATGTAAATTTCTGTATTTAAATTTTAAAAATAATGCTTGGCAGTATTGTTACTCATTACAAAAACAAAAACAAAAATCAAAACAACCCAAATGCCCATCAACAGGAGAATGCATAAATTGTAGTATATTAGCAGAAAGTAATAATATACAGCATGCAGATTAATTACATCATGCAACTACATCTAAGAATCATAATAGCATAATACTGAGTTAAAAATATCAAGCACAGAAGACAACATACCGCACAATGTCCTTTTTGTAAACAGTATATTGCTTAGGCTGATAGATGATAGATAGATAGATGATAGATAGATGATTGATAGATAGATAGATAGATAGATAGATAGATAGATAGATAGATAGATAGATAGAAGCTAAAAATTAAGCAAGAGATTGAACATGAAACAATATTCAGGATGATGATGACCTTTGGGGGAAGTGATAGCATATATATCATTAGTAATGTTCTAGTTCTTGGGATGGGTAGAAGGTTCACAGGTGCTCATTTTATTTAATTCAGTATCTTTTAATTTATTTCTGTATTTAAACCTTCCTACTGTAAAATTCTGAGAACTACAAGAAACAGATATAAAGCATCATGTTACTATAAGTTGAACACTTTTGTAACCACCACCCAGGTCAAATAGTAGAACTAACTGTGCCAGCCTCCCCAGAAACACTTCACACCTCAGTGCAACATAATCTCCTCCTCATAGCACTATCCTGTCTGCCCTTTTTCTCCATTAAAAAAATTACTAAATATTACTGAAAAAAATCTTAGCAAGAACTCAGTATGCATGTTCTTTATAGTTTCCAAATCAGCAAATATAGATATCCCTCATTTTCAAGTGGCTCTGTATATTTCATTAGACATGCTGTAATTTAACCAGTCCTTTATTGATGGAAACTACAGTTATATCTTTTGTTTTGTTTTGCTTTGTTTTGATGGATTAATGCTTGGGGAAAAAAAGTGTTTCCTAAAGACTGTCATGAAAATTGACTCTGAGTATGACTCAAGGAAACCATTTATCTTGAACTCTTTCCTTGCTTGCATGCTCTGTGGATGCTCTGCTGTGTTAACTATAAAATAACTTAAGGTTTGAAGTGAAAAATTAGAAGAAAACAGCTTCATTTCATTTTTAATTTGTTTTTAAATTGATATACAGTGAAACTTACTCGATTTCATAAAACCATGTATGAGCTTTAATAAATGCATAGTTATATAACCACCACACGATCAACATCCAGAATGGTTCCACACTTGAAAGCACACAAAAAACCCTCCCCCAATTCTTAAGCCCAGGCACCCACTGATCTACTCTCTTTTCCAGAATGTCCTATAAATGGGATCACTCATTAAATACTGTTTGTCTGGCTTCTTTAACTTAGCATAAGGCATTTGAAATTTATTCATATTGTTGTATGTATTAATAGTTCATTCCTTTTTGTTGTTTAGTAGTTTATTCCACTTTACGTGTTTACCACTTTTTTGTTTATTCATTTCCCAGGTGAGGGACTTTTGGTTGTTTCCTACTTTTAGCAATTATGAATAAAGTTGCTATAAATATCTGTATATAGGTCTTTATGGGAATATAGGTTTTCCTTTCACTTGGGTAAACACCTAGTAGTAGGATTGCTGCATCATATGATAAGTATATATTTAACTTTACAAAACCATCAAACATTTCAATAGTGGCTATACCATTTTTATATTTCCATCAGCAAAGCATGAGGGTTCCAATTTTTCCATATCCATGGTAGTGATGTCATTTTCTAAAGTCATTCTAATAGGTGTGTGGAAGTATCTCATTGTGATTTAATTTGCATTTCCCTATTATCTAGCAATAATAAGCATATTTTCACAGACCTATTAGATGCATATATCTTCTTTAGTGAAGTGTGTATTCAAATAATTTGACCATTTTTAATTGGGTTGTTTATTTTATTAAGTTCTGAGTTCTTTATATATTCTGGATATAAGTCCTTTATCAGACATGTGATATGCAAAGATTTTTCTCCCAGTCTGTGGTTCATCTTTTCCTTCCCTTAACAATGTCTTTTGAAGAGCAAAGGTGTTAATTTTGAAGAAATCCAATTTATCAATTTTTTTCTTTTGTGGTTGTGCTTTCGGTGTCACAACTAAGAATTATTTGCCTAAACCAAAATCTAAAAGATTTTCATCTATGTTTTCTTCTAAACATTTTATTTTGTACATTTTACATTTAGGTTTATAATCCATCTTGAGTTCATTTTATATAAGGTGTGAAGTATAGATTAAGGCTTATTATTTTTGCATATGGAAGTCCAGTTGCTCCAGACCCATTTGTTGGAAAGACTATCCTTTCTCCATTGAATTGCCTTTGCACCTTTGTCAAAAATCAGTTAACCGTATTTGTAAGAGTCTATTTCTGGACTTTCCATTCTGTTCTATTGATCTATATATATATTCTTTTGCTTATATGACAGTCTTTTGATTGCTGTAGTGTTATAGTTCATTTTTTTCTTTATATTTTCATTTCAAAATCTAAGGACACCTTATAACCCATATACATTTAAGAGGAAATATTTTTGTACTTTTTCATGTCTTGAAGGAAAAAGAAACCCCAAGCTTACTCCTTTCATTGATATTTCCTTCTTTCTTCATCCTCTAGAAATGGAAATAACCAGGGGGTACAAGACCATGGCAATGCAGGAGGTCACTCTAGGGCAGGGACCACCTCCTGGGTTGTTCCACTTAGCTTATCTGCAGTCTCCAAAACTACTTCTGCTGACCTCTGAGATATACAAAAGAAGAATCAGGTTGGGGAGCGTATTTCTAAGAAGTCAGATGTCTCTGTGCAGTGTTCCTACAAAGAGGAGTGCACAAGTCAGATGCCCAGTGCAAGCTTCTATCCTAGAACAGGAACTAGAATTTTCTGACTGTGGCTGTGTAAGCCAGCCCCCCACATTTCAAGGACATAAGGTAGGAAGTCTGAAAAAAATGTAAGCCTCTGTTGTTAAATGGAAAAAAAAAGTATAAAATTAGCTTAAAGAGGAAGCTGTCTTGAGAGGTAATGCAAATGATTTGTGTTTTCTGGAGATGTGACAGGTGCTGACTTATTGATGCCTGATTGCAAATAAAATGTGAAGTTCCCCCAAGAACTTTCAAAAAGGCTCCAGCATTACTTTAGCCAGCTGCTTTAATCTGCTAAAGAACCTACATAAATAAATTTTTAATGCCCTGGCCAAGTCTTTACCCTTCAGTTTAGTCAGGGAGCTGTGAATGGGAAAACTTTTGTCTGCTTAATTTGATAGTTGTAGAAATTTTCCAATTTTCTCCTTTGACTGATAACTTCAGGAGTCCAATGGTAGGTCAAAGCTTAATTTAATAACCATATGGCATATGAACTACAAAACAAATGTCTTCTCTATAGCATTAAGTTGAAAAGTATATCAATCCCATTCATAGATGTAGTATATACCTGCCAGTAGATATATAGTCATATCTGTAGAGTTTTGAGAAGTACAGGCTTTCAAGACACAGAGATATGTATTTGAATTCTAACACCATAAGGTGCCATTCTTTGACCTTGGGCAAGCTGGATTTCTTCTTTAAAGCCTACTTACCCCATCTGTTTGATGGAGGTAGTAACATCTATCTTCCAGAATTTTGGGAACATCAAATGAGATAATGATGTAAAGTTTAACTTAGTGTCTGCCTCATTGTGTTTAATAAATGTTGACTATTACTCTACTTCCCAATAAAAGTCCAAGTGCAGACTAGTGTTGTAACACTGCTTCTTAAATATTAATGTACATTGAATCACTCCAACCTTGTTGAAATGCAGATTCTGCCTCTCTGAGTCTAGGGCAGGGCCCAAGATTGTGCATTTCTAACTAGCTTCCTGGTGAAGCTGAGGACACTTTGAATGGCAGGATGGTAAAAGATGTTTGCAAGTGCAACTGTCTTATTTGTCTAAACAATGGTCCTCAATACTTTCTTCACATTAGAAGCTCTCAGAGAAGTTAAAAAAAAAAAGATGCTGGCCTCAGAAAAGGATTCGAATTTAATTTTAAAGTATCTAAAGTAGGGCCTGAGTATCAGTATTTTTTAAAAGCCTCCCAATTGATTCCATTGGCGGCCAAGGCTGAGGCCCTCTGCTTAGTGGTTCTAATGTGCAGCCAGGCTTGAGAAAAACCTCTTCACAAAATTGTTTGCAAGACTATTTTGATTTCCT